GCATTTGTGCGTGCGGGAGTCATTATGTTACCGCTATGCAGTATCTAGTTAAAGCCCAAAGAGACACACAGAATACTTTGGTTGTCACCATTTCATTTTATTTCACCTCTTCAATCAATACTTTTTATTTACACTTTTTTAATTGTTTACAGACATTGTCTGAAAAGCATGCTTCATGCTCTCACAGCTCTACACACAGATCTAAAATCACACACAAAGTGGGCAAAACCCTCCGTTTCTCACGAAAAATGAAAGAGGCAATATCATGTAAAATCAACTTTTTTGAGTTTTACATCATGTTATAATGTTATCGTCTCATCAAAAACATGCCCAGAGTCTTGCTTTGACTCATTCATGCATGTTTGAGAAATCCTGTACTGCCCTGATTGGCAGCAACAAAGCAAACWAGTGAAACTGAAAGTGAAACTGAAACTATCTGCTGAGCCCAGCGCAGCCCTTTTCAGATTCAGAATACCTTTGAGGAAATGTAGTTTCAGATGCCAAGTAAACTACTATCACAGTGCAGTATACTTTAAAACTCTGGTACATCCCAACCAACACAAAGTTACACATAAAGTGGTCTCCATGCAAAACAACAGAATTTACTGTATACAGTAAAGCATACGCAATGACCACACGGTCAACCGAAGTGTCTTTGATCTCATCAGAGATTACAGTCCTTGGCCTTATATTTGTGTGTAAAGCACAAACTGCACTTGTAGTTTCGAAGAACTGGTTAAGGGGGTTGGTGTATGAGTTACACGTGTGGTTGTTTTGTCTCAAGTAACAGTAAATGTGTGTAAACAACTGAGAAAAACTGCAACTTTATGCTCCTGTCCAGCATTCCTCAGACACTTTAGGTCAGATTCAAATCCCCCCCAAAACAAATGACARTGGGCTTGAGATTGTTTTTATTAATCTGCTGGAAACAGTTAATCAAAAAAAGAATCAGAGTTCAATTTTTTTTAAGATTCTCAACTGTTAGAGATAAACTGTTTGAGGAGAACAACTGGTTCTGTTCCCTTTTCTTTAAATGCACCGCACAGTTTGAGCAGCACTGATCAAAACGTTTATAATTCTAACATTCTTCTGGCTTCTTGAAGTTTTTTGTGGATTCTCTTGTGTAATGGAGACTAATTTGCACAAATATTAATGACAGTGGAATTTGTCTGATAAATTGTAAAATTTATGAGACGTCTGAGTCAAATGATTATCAAAACAAGGAGACAAAAGGGTTGTTTTGTTATGATAGTTCATATTTTTTAAACTGACTTTTTAGTCACATTTTTTTTTTTTTTTTTTTTTACGCAGTTCCCTGTCAAAATGCTCTCGACTACTTCAAGACTGTTCTGGAGTTTCACAACCAGCTGGTCCAACCGATGCCAGAGGAGCAGCTCATGGAGGTGAGAACGGGCCTCGTGCTATAATCATCCAATCAGRTTTGTTTTTAACGTAGTGTAAAAATTCAATCAAACCTTGTGTCTTTGCAGGAGGAGGAACGGCAAACAGTCTTTGAGGTTTGTGATTTTCATGCCTTGGCTCTACAGATTTTTAAGGTCCATTCATATGATTTTGGATCAGTTTAACTCGAAGGGCCAYGCCCCTCCTGAGTTTCTCTCTTTCACCTCCTTCCAGGGGAGCAAACAGCTGCTGGAGAACTATCCGCTCTTCATCTCCAACAAGCAGTGGGACGAAGCCGTCAACTCCTCGAAGAAAGACGGCCGCCGGCTGCTGCGCTACCTGATCCGCTACATCTTCACCACAGACGAGCTGAAATTCTCCTGCGGTTTGGGTAAAAGGAAGCGCTCGGTGCACTCAGGAGAGCCAGGCCTGGAGAGGCGACCACTTAACCCCGTCAAAGTCAGCTGCCTCAGAGGTCAGTGCAKGTTTTTTTCTGTTTTATGTGTTTTGTTTTCTTAATAAATCCCTATATCGCCATTTRTATCATATTTGCTACGCAGGATTCTGTGACCTATATTTTATCAATGTGATTAATATTTTCCTCAAAAACCTATTGAGACCTGTATTTTGCCCTCTAGTGGATTATCAATGTACTGCAGGAAGTGGAACTTTTTTGTTTTGCCTTTTCAAAATGTCTGCTGACATGAGGTCATCCACACATTTTTTCAGGCAAACTTTTGCTAATTTTGGAGAAGTTATGGTAAGAATAACATCAATATTGTTTGTAATTTTTTAAATAAATACTTTCTGTGTTGAAACAATGCATAATTACTTAAAGTATTTTTAATGGTACAGTTAAACCGTGTTAAAAATTTGTGTATCAAACTTGATACTGCAGGTACATTAGGTGCTCCAGTCCTGAATTGTCATGTGACATTTTAGTAATTTAATCAACAGTATTCTTGCCACAATACAACCACACACTATTTTGGACGATTGATTAATTACTGAAATGCCGTTTGAAAACACATTTTGGCTATTTTCAAAGTGGTTCCTTTGAAATTATTATCTCTAYGCTGTACTGACTAAATATTTACGTGTTAGATGTCAAAGAAATTTGAGGAAGAAAAGAGAAAAAAACAAAGTAAGAAAATGTCATCAATTTGATAATAGATGGCAATTTTTTATAAAGTGTAAGATACATCTGTGCCTGAACAATGACAGAAACACTCAGAATTACAGCATCACAATCACATCAATTATTATTACACCATAGACACAAAGACAAACAAGC